GGACCCAGTCACCCCACTCTGAAATTTCCCCAAAGGAAATGAAATCAGTATATGAAAGAGTTATCTGCACCCCCATGTTTATTACAGCTCGATTCACAATAGCTAAGATATGGAATCAACCCAGATGTCCATCAACTGAAGACTGGATGAAGAAATTATGACACACACACACACACACACACACACTATGGAACACTACACAGCAGTAAAAAAAATGAAATCCTGTCCTTTGCAACTGGAAACCATTATACTTAGTGAAATAAGCCAGTCACAAAAAGACAAAGACCATACGGTCTCTCTGAACTGCGGTAACTAATAGAGTACCTACAACAGTAATCTACAGGAGCAAAACTGACACTTTGTGATGCAAGTATTTTGAACAGCCCTTGTCTTGACTGTTGAGGAACAACGTTTTTTTGTTTGCTTGTTTTTGCTTTTGTTTCTTTCTACTTCATACTATTCAGGGAACTCTATTTAGTGTAGGGTTAATCTTCTGAGTATAAAATTAACTGAAAATACATCTTTTTAAAAAATGAGAGGAGCTGGTGCTGTGGTATAGTGGGTAAAGCTGCTGCCTGCAATGCAGGCATCCCATATGGGCACCAGTTCGAATCCTGGCTGCTCCATTTCCAATCCAGCTCTCTGCTATGGCCTGAGAAAGCAGTGGAAAATGGCCCAAGTCCTTGGGCCCCTGCACCCACATGGGAGACGCTCCTAGCTTTGGAATGGTGCGGCTCTGGCCATTGTAGCCATCTACGAAGTGAAGCAGTGTATGGAAGACCTCTCTCTCTCTCTCTCTCTCTCTCTCTCTTTCTCTCTCTGCATCTCTGTAACTCTGCCTTTCAAATAAATAAATAAATCTTAAAAAAAGTAAGAATGGGAATGGGAGAATGAGGTGGAAGAAGGGTGGGAGTATAGGCAGGAGGGATCTAGGGTGGGAAGAATCACCATGTTCCCAAATTTGTATATATGAAATACATGAAGTTTGTATTCTTCAAATAAAATTTTAAAAAAAAGAAAAGAAAAACCCATGCTTGAAGTTTTTGCACCAAAGCGAATGTATCTTTTAACTGCATGTTCCTGTGAGCTCTGTGCACCTCCAGGCCCAGGCACTTCCCAGGCACAGCCTTTCCAGGACTGGCTGACTCCACTTAGCACCCTGTCCTCGTGGCTGTGCCCAGCTGAAGCAGGTGCCAGAGCCTTCTCCCACATGTGCACATCCACTGTACACGGATACCACATTTTGCGATTCTGTCTGTGTCCACGGACATTCTGGTTGCTCCCAAGTCTGGGCTACTGTGAACCTGAGTGTGCAAATATCTCTTCAAGATTCTAGTCCAGTTTTCAGGTTTTTTGGTCATACACACAAAAGAGGGATTGCAGGATCATATTTTTACTTTTAACTTTTTTGAGGAACTTCCTTGATGTTTTTCACAGGCACTGCACCATTTGACAGTCTAAGTGGACAACTGTTCCACTTCTCCACGCCCTCGACAACACTTGTTCTGGCTTCTGTTTGTTTTGTTTGTTTGCTTTCATGTTAACTCTCCTAAAAGTTGTGAGATCAGATCTCACTGTACTTTTGACTGGCATTTCTCTGATGCCCAGTGATGCAAAGCATCTTTTCACAGGCTTCTTGGCCATCTGCACATTGTTTTTGAACAATGGATGACTCATTGCCCATTTTAAAACAGGTCATCTGATTTTTTTGTTGCTGAATTCTGTTTTGTTTCTGCTAAGCTTATACTATGAGTGTCAGAGATCAGTTCTTCCAACCCCTTCCTTGAGGAACAAGCAAGCTGAATTCCACAGTAAGTCACAGAGCTAGCAACGCTACAAGGTTCTATTTTTCACTTACCTTTCATTGCTACAATACTTTCCAAGCCACAGAGGCAAGATAAACATGAACTATTTGCAACAGAAATTGTTTTATGGAAAAATGGAATATAATTTAATATGAAGTCAATTTTGTATAAAACAAAATAGGCTCTAATATTGATCTGAACTCCCTAGGTATGATTTGAAAAACAGACAAACCTGAGAAAGTGCATGGGCCTGTGTGCTTCAACCAAACAATAAACATGTATTGAACATCTGTTGTTTTCATTTATTTTGAAATGCAGAGAAAGAGACAAATTGGATCACAGGAGGAGAAGTCACTCATCTACTGGTTCAATCCTCCAGAGCCTGAAACAGCCAGGAGCCCATAACTCCACCCACATCTCCAACGCGGGTGGCAGGGACTCAACTACTTGAGCCAGCAGAGTGCACATCAACAGGAAACTGGAGGCAGAAGCAGAGCCAGGGCTCGAACCCAGGTATCGAGCTCAGGTACTCACGTGGGAGCTGGGTAGCCCAAGCAGCATTCTAACTGCTGTGCCAGTGCCTGCCTTGAACATCTTTCAAATGTTCAGGTAAAAGCTGGGTCCTGAGCAGACATAATCCTTAACCTAAAGGCTCCACCTCTAACCAGCTGGGGGAACCTTGAACTCTCATCCTCTCCTCATTCATAAAACAACTGACCAAAAATTAAAGAGTCTTTTCTCAACATAAACTACCATGTGATAAAATATACAAGACAGCGTGAGATGTGGTGGACACAGCAACGTAGCAGACTGCAAGCTGACCATAACTGAACGCATTAGACCACCACCGACTCTTCTTTCTTGGGAAGCACTGTTATCGAGTCAAGGCCTCCCAAAACTTTTTATTTCTTCCATATATGTCATGCTTGTGGTCTAAATCACCATGTACTTAAAGAACAACCCTTAATTTTGCAATGCTCCCGATGCTGTCACCCTACTACCAATTCCCATTCAAGGGTTAAGACTGCTGCACTTCAAATGATGAACATTCAGCAAATTTTAATATAATGATGTGGGGGCAAAATATGCAAACTCTGCAGGGTGAATAATATACATATTATTTGGGGAACTCTAGTGAATAATTTTCATGAACTATAACCAATTTCAAGTTTCGATCTCTTGAAATTAAAAAATTACACTTATATTTGTCTAGATCAGAATAGAGAAGCAATGGGGCCAGCGCTGTGGCATAGTGGGTAAAGCTGCCACCTGTGGTGCCAGCATCTCACATGGGAGCCAGTTTGAGCCCCTGCTGCTCCACTTCCAATCCAGCCCTCTGCTATGGCCCGGGAAAGCAGGAGAAGATGGCCCAAGAGCTTGGGCCCCTGTACCCACATGGGAGATCCAGAAGAAGCTCCCAGCTTCTGGCTTTGGATCAACACAGCTCCAGCCATTGCGGCCATTTGGGCAGTGAACCAGCAGATGGAAGACCTCTCTCTCCTTGTCTCTGCCCTCTCTGTAACTCTGCCTTTCAAATAAATAAAGAAAGAAATCTTTAAAAAAATAAGTTCATGAACAAATCTAATTAAAATATTTGAAAAATAGTGAAACAACTCACTTAAAAACATTCTTCTCCACAAAGACATTAATTTGAGATTTAAAGGATAAAAAGTTAATTTTATAACCAATTGAATAAATTCAAAAATAGTTTAAAATGATTTAAGAAATAGAAAGGTGAGAAAAACATTTAAAAAAAAGAAAGGTATTATACCATGATTCTTCCATTTAACAGAACTATTTTCAAAACCAACTAAGTGGCTGGCGCCGCGGCTCACTAGGCTAATCCTCCACCTTGTGGCGCCGGCACACCAGGTTCTAGTCCCAGTCGGGGCGCCGCATTCTGTCCCGGTTGCCCCTCTTCCAGGCCAGCTCTCTGCTGTGGCCCGGGAGTGCAGTGGAGGATGGCCCAAGTCCTTGGGCCCTGCACCCCATGGGAGACCAGGAGAAGCACCTGGCTCCTGCCATCGGATCAGCGCGGTGCGCCGGCCGCGGCAGCCATTGGAGGGTGAACCAACGGCAAAGGAAGACCTTTCTCTCTGTCTCTCTCTCTCTCACTGTCCACTCTGCCTGTCAAAAAAAAAAAAAAAAAAAAAAAAAAAAAAAACTAAGTGGAACTTTTTGCTTCATCAAACCTTTCTATTTGCTTCATCAAACCTTTCTATATCTTTGGGCAGATGTTGCTGGCTGTCCACATCTTTACTGACAGCTTCCACAACAGAACTGAAAACTCGCTGTTATTAATATCTTCGTTTACATGTAACTGCATACTAATAAAAGAAAAGCCTTAGCACTGCTCTTGCAACACAAACAAGACCCAAATAAAATTCTTTCAATCCTAAAGGAATGGTGCCGCTCTGGTTTCTTTCCATCTTTTGAAAACTGAAAACACGCACCTTAGCCCTAAGAATCATTTCTACTTTAAGTCTTGATCAACATTTAAAGTTTTATGACAGATAAACTACTGAACTTAAGTTAACAAGTATTTCATGTAGAAAGTAGGAGTAAGAAGAAGTGAAGACTGAAGACATGCGTGCAGGACAAGCTCTTTCAATGTGACGCTTTTTGCAGAATGTTAAGATTATGGACTCAAAACCCAGACCACAGAAATCAAAGCAGGGTGGGCTAGAGTGGGTGGCCATGCCCAAGTCTTTGCAAAAGGTGAGCAGCCGCAGATGGCAGCAGGATGGAAAGACCGGTGACTGCAGATGTCAGACGAGAAACCACAATAAAGCAACCCTGAACACGTGTATTGATGTGCCTACCAGTCACCCCACATGTCCAGAATGAACAATTCTCCCCAAATAGCATTGAGGATCAAAGCCGCAAGAAAGATCTTGGACGTAAAACTGAAAGAACTATTCCCCCTACACATGACAGCAGCACAAAGCCAGGAGGCTCCACAGCCCTCGGTGAACCCAGCCAGGGAACACAACTGACGTCACGGCAGGTCCTGGCCTCCTTCCCACACAGCCCCAAGCAGATGCCCAAAACTGGAAAGAACCTACAAGCCGCCGTTCTCTGGAGAAGCCGAGGATGGAGCCTGCTCGGGGCGGGGGAGGCCAGGAGCCCTCAGCAGGACAGCCCCGGCTGCCCAGCTCAGAGCTCGGGGCTGCACACCGCCTCCACCACACCCACCTTTTTGATCTTCTTGATGTCCGGGTCCTCATCTTCTTGGTTGCTGTGGTAAGGGCGCATCCGCTCCTTGGTTTTATTGAGAGCGATGATCTGCAACACAGAATCAGTCCGAGTGGTGATCTGGGAAATACTGGGCAAGGCCCCCCGGGCTCTCACACTCTCTGCACTCTCTTCCTTGTGCTGATGTGGAGGGCCCCACGCACTACTCCTAACTGGGGTTACGCACAAGAGCGCTCACAGAGGGACTGGACAGTGACCTGGGGCCTGGGTCAGGAGAAATGCCAGCCCTAGACTCGGCACCCAATGCCAAGGCCTCCTTGGGAGCTCAGGGACGTGGTACCCATGTTGCCACGAGGTCTCTAAACACAGGGACACCCAACCACAGCTCCTGTTCCCAGAACCAGCCAGTGTCCTTCTCAGGACACACGGAGCAGCCCTCATAGGCATCCTGGGGGAGACGGCGACCACCAGGGGAAGCTCGGAGCCAGGATTTGGTCCCGGTCAACCAGGGGGACCACTCAGGACCACCAGCAAGCAGATGCCTGAGCAGCTGGGTGACCATGGCTCCACCACCCCTCCTGTTCTCCTGGACATCAGCCTCAGGTGCTGGGGGTGCAGGACCCGGGAGGGTCACAGCTGGGACGAGGTGACAGTCAGCACAGGGGAGGAGACCAGGCAAGGGGCACCCTAGCAACTGTCTTTCAGTTCAACCCAAATGCGCTTTCTACAGAGGGGGGAGCTGGACCCCTTTGATCTGCAGGAAGCAACGTTTTCTGAACTCACTTCTGGCGCCCCCTGACTTGTCGTTTCGGACTTTACTGCATCTATGCCAGGGTTGCGATTGCCAAAGTGGTCACAGCTACCCAGTTTGGCTAGCTCCTGAATTTCTGACTCAGCCGAGGACATCAGGAGCACACGCCATCCTGCTAAGTTCTCATCGCACATTGACCTAACGCCCACAGGGACCACGGAGTCAGGTCGGGGTCGGGAGCCCAGCGGGCAAGTGCTGATGGCAGAGGAACGCAGGCTGCGGTGGACACTCTGCCTGCTCTGCCACACGTGATCTCAGGAGACGAGCGCGTGCGAGAAACAGGGAAGGGATCTCCCGCGGGGAATACCTCTGACTTCAGCCTTTCGATTTCCGTGTCTTGGTCTTCAAGTTGATGGCGAAGCTGGTTAGCTGCAATCTTTTCTGTCTCCACAATCTGAACTAGATGAATATACTTTTGCATCAGAACTTCCCTCTCGATCAGAATGTCTGAGTAGCTTGAGAGAAAATGGCACAGTTAGTCACGGAGGAATCGTCCACCACAGCTCCACGTCAGCAGCACACACCACGCTGAGAGAAGCACTCGCCAACACGTTTGCTGGCAAGCTCTAGAAACACCGATTCCAGCTTGCATTTGTGATCCCTCAACAACGCAGAATGTGAGGGTCAACGTCATGGTGCAGCAGGTGAAGCTGCTGCCCACAATGCCAGCATCTCAGATGGGTGCCGGTTCGAGTCCCTGTTGCTGCACGTCTGATCCAGCTCCCTGCTAATGCATCTGGGAAAGCAGTGGAAGATAGCCCAGGACCTTGGGCCCTTGCACCTGCGCGGGAGACCCAGAAGGAGTTCCTGCCTCATGGCTTCATCCTGGCCCAGGCCCAGCCATGGTGACTATTTGGGGAGTGAACCAGTGGACAGAAGACTGATATCTCTCTGTCTCTTCTTCTCTCTGTAATTCTTTCAAATAAACAAATCTTTTTTAAAAAATCTGAGCTATCATCGCTTCACATGTTCTAAGAGTTTATCGTAACAAAAATACTATCAAATAAGTGAGGAAAAGGCCAAAGTCAAAATAGTTTGAAAAAGGAAGCAGTGTCTCCTTTAACAAAGAAAGGGTGGTCTTGTGGCTCAGCAGCACGCGGCTCCCAGGGGCGCTATCCAGGGTGCTTCAGGAGGAGGCACGTGCCAATCACAGGGGAGCTGCCGCAAGAAGACTGCACAACATTGGAAAACTCAAGACTCTGCCGGGACCGCCAGCTCAGCTAGCTCAGGGTGGCGAGAACACACACGGCTCTCTTTCTAGAACCAAAAGGAGCAACACTTCCATTCTAGAAACAGGTTCAATTATGGGGACCCAGACTCCAGCACAAGCTGGTGTCCACTTCTCTGCCTGAGGGCAGCAAAGACACAATTTGCTCTGAGATTCCCGTTGGCAAGGCAGTGGTGTGGCACCTGCAGCTCTGCCCCAGGTCTTCTCGCGCTGGTCAGCGTGCCGAATTGCCTGTGCCTTCATCCATATAATGGTATGATAACAGTAATTAAGGTTAATGGTTACTATCCACCCGGGGCATAGCACGTACATCGATCATCTCATCTCCCAGCCAGCAAGCCCAGGAGGTGCGATTTCTGATCCTCAACACAGAGAAAGGATCTGATCTCACAGATCACACACTGGCCTCAGACAGCACAGCGAGTGGGTGGCACGGCTGGCCTTCCACCCAAGGTCTGTCTGACCCCGCACCAGCGTTCTCAACCACAGCTGAACTGTCTCTGTGATGAGAAACAGCGCCCTGGGTATAAACAGGAGTGCTGCCGCAGAGGCGTGCTGAGACGGTCAGATGGCCGCCCAGGCCTCTTCTCTGAGAGCTTGAGCCATCGTGGCTGAGTTGCCACCAAAAACCTGCCCTCAAGGCCGGGGCAGCCAGCCTGGAGGAGATCGGCAGCCCAAGCTGAGCCGAATGGTTTCAACACTTCTGTGCTTGCTCGTCAGTCTTTGGAGAAACGCACCAGCTGGGTTACAAGTGTGCTTAGCTTGGCACTCGGAAGCAAAGCAGCACTTTGTGTTCTCTGCACGCCAGGAGAGAGGCAGAAGACAAATGCAATCCAGGACGCGAGCTGCATGGATGCAGACGGGACGCCAGGGTCTGCCTCCCTTCACCTCCAGGGTCCCGCTGACAGGCTAGGGGAGTGCTTTCTGTGCGAAGAGGGACCGATGACAGCACTACGAGACAGGAGAGTGTGCCAGATGGTTTATAAACTCCAGGAAGAGAGCACCCAAGCTGAACTCACGTGGGGGGGGGGGGACGAGGGCCACAGACATGATGGGCACAGACACTCTCAGAGGCTCCTCTTGGGGTCCCCACCAAGACAGCCCAGGGCAGCCGATGGCCACAGGGCACGGGAGGTGACAGGAGGCCAAACGCAGAAGCGTCCAGCACATCTGGAAGCCAGGTGTCTTTCACACCGCCCCCCCCCCCCCCCCCGAAGGCAGCAGAAAGCACCGCTGGCGCCATGACGTCCCCCAGGGCACGATCCAAGATCTGCTGTGTGGAAGAGGGAGCCACCTGCCCGAGAAAGGCTTGTGAAGGCGCAGCAGAAGCTGCCGCCTGTGACGCTGCCCCCACAGGGGAGCCAGTCTGAGGACCTGCTTCCCACCCAGCTCCCTGCTGATGGCGTGAGAAGGCGCTGGACGACAGCCCCGGTCCTTGGGCCCCTATGTCCATGTGGGAGACCCGGATGGAGCTTTTGGCTCCCAGCTTCAGCCTCACCCAGCCCTGGCCACTGCAGTCATTTGGGGAGTGGACAGTGGATGGAGGATTTCTCCCTTTCTCTGAAATTCTTTCACATCAATAAATAAATAATCTTTAAAGGCTCTTAATAAGGGAGTCAGACTCCAAGACACGGCAAAGCTCAACTCCAGACAGCCTCTGCAGACACAACCATGAAACAAAAAAGCAAAGGCTATTTTTCTGCTGTGTAACCAATTCTCCCAAGTGCAGAGGCTTGCAACAGTACATATTCATCGTCTCCTCAGCTCTGGGGCCAGGAGTCCAGGCCGACTCTGGTGAGGGCCCTACTCAGGGTCTCCCGTGGCCACGATGCAGCTGCTGGCCGAGTCTCAGCTGGGGGAGGACCTTCCTGCAAACACATTCCCACTGCAGGAGAAACCTGTTTCCCTGCATTAAGGACTGCGTAGCCACTGCCTGCTGCTACCTTTTTGTTCTTGTTGTTGTTTGTTTTGTTTTGTTTCATTTCTTAAGATTTATTTATTTATTTGAAAGTCACAGTTACACACAGAGAGGGGAAGCAGACAGAGAGAGAGAGGTCTTCCACCTGATGGTTCACTCCCCAGTTGGCCGCAACGGCTGGAGCTGCGCCAATCCGAAGCCAGGAGCCAGGAGCTTCCACTGGGTCTCCCACGCAGGTGCAGGGGCCCAAGGACTCGGGCCATCTTCCACTGCTTTCCCAGCCATAGCAGAGAGTTGGATTGGAAGTGGAGCAGCCGGGTCTCAAACCAGTGCCCAAATGGGATGCCGGTACCTTAAGCCAGGACATTAACCCACTGTGCCACAGCGCCGGCCCTGCTTTTTTTTTAAGACTTATTTATTTGGAAGTCAAGTTACAGAGGAGAGGCAGAGGCAGAGAGGGAGAGAGACCTTCTATCTGCTGGTTCATTCCCCAAATGGCCACAATGGTCAGGGCTAGGCCAGGCCAAAGGCAGGAGCCAGGAGCTTCATCAGGATCTCCCACGTGGATGCAGGGGCCCAAGCACTTGCTGTCCTCTGTTGCTTTCCCAGGCACATTAACAGGGAACTGGATGGAAAGTGGAGCAGCCAGGACTTGAACCAGTGCCCCCATGGGATGCTGGTATTGCAGACGGTGGCTTTCCCCACTATGCCCCAGCGCCAGCCCTGCTGGCCTCTCTGTCCTCCCTGAAGCCTGCATCTGGTGAGGTCAGGCACGCAGAAGGATCTCCCTCTTGACTTCAGTCTGCCATGCATCTTCACACATCCCTCTCCTCGGCCACAGGACGTCATCTAATCAGAGACTGAGGCTCCCACGGTGCCTAGCGGAGCCTAGCAGCCAGCAGCAAGCACAGGTCCCAACCCCGTGGGCTGGGTATGGAATCACACAAGGAAGACTCCCACCTGCCTCCCTGCTGTCTACCCACACACCTGGAGAGACAGCTGACAGGTGTTGCAGAAACCTGCATTCACAGTCGCAGACTTAGCCTAGGCCAGCTCCCCATCACAGCCCACACAGTGCTTCACTTAGACAACTGAGAACACCAAGCCTCCCCACCCCCAAAAGAGGCCCCCGCAGCGGGCAGCGGATGGCCCATGACCCCTGCCTTTGGTTCCCACGCCCTGTGTGGACTCCGACCCCCTTGTGGGAGCTGGACCTAATGACCCCCTTAGAAGGAATCAGGTTTGGCAGAGCGGGGGGCGGCCTTTCCAGGCCAGCTGATGAGAGGGCCCCGCTTCTCTCCCACCTGCCTCCCGCTGTCTTCTCAGAGGAAAGCAGGCTTCCAGCTGTGAGTCGCTGCTCAGGGCCCACATACACTGAGCGAGGTCGCGCCAACGCCACCTAGCAGCTGAGGTCGACCCCAGCACTGGGGAGGGGCTGTGTCCTTGCACCAACGCCACCTAGCAGCTGAGGTCGACCCCAGCACTGGGGAGGGGCTGCGTCCTTGCAGCAACAGCTGAGTGGGCCCACACGCTGACCGCACCCTGGATGACACCGCAAGTCCGGCTGTGATCACTGCCATAGGAGAGACTGGGGCCAAGGCCCCAGCACAGCCAGGCCGGGGTTCCTGACCCACAGAAGCTGCGGGAGTAGACAGCTGCGTATTGCCTGACGCAAGATGGAGTCAGTCGCAAGCAGCACTGTGCGTGGGAAACAAACACGGCTCTCAATGCACCTAGACCCCACAGGAAACCAGGATAATTCAGGCAATGAGACTCACTACACTCAGAAAGACATGGCGGAATGTTGGAACCATAAGGCAAGAGGAGAACGCCATGGAAAAGAAGTCATCAGGTAACAAGGGGGTCCTTGGGAACAAACAGTAATGGCTGCAGTTCTATTTGTCAATGGAAGCACTGGGCCGTACGCCAGAGATCACAGAGATAGCGCAGAACGCTGACCAAACTCAGAGACTGCAAGTAGGAAAGACCTTAAGTGACGAGGGAGCACAGATCTGAGAGTGACTACGGAGGGGGTTCCGGAAGGGGAAGAGACAGGGCCCCCGAGGAGGAGGAGGAAAGCAAGAAATGCAAGATCCCCCCCGAACCGAACACAGCACAGTTCACACAGCACAGTGCCCAGGCCAGGCAGCGTCAGCGGCTCACCCCAGCAAGCGATCAGAGTCCCAGGAAAAACAGCCCCTCTGCAGGAAGAGAGAGTCGGGCTGAACGCACACTGCACACTGCTCATCACAACCCAGGATTCTCAGGACAGCAGAGAACTGCAAAGAAACTGAGTGCTTAAATAAAGC